ACCAGTGGTTAGATGCGCAATGAGCAGCTCCATTGATAAGCAATAAAATGTAAAAACCGCCAATTTTCAACTTGAGCCGTGTTGTAAGCTAAGGGACAATATATAAATATATATATAGTATCTTACCCATTTGGCCATCTTCAACAAACAATATATGAGCTGGAATTAGACAGCTAAAGTAGAATACATCAATGTTATTTTTTACAGCCACTTGCAAATTGTTAATTGGTTCCATTTTCATAACACCACCAGCTAGAAAAAGTCAAATTTTAATAATAAACCTGTTTGCATATTTTTACAATTTGAAAAAATAAAATTAAATACAAAATTTAGGCATTTGTTCAATAAAATTAAGAACAACTAAGATTTTTGTGACTTAAACAAAATTTCAACTTATGGATCAATCATAAATTACACAACACTAAATTTTACAAATAAGCAAAACAAAAAAGATCAAAAGTTCTCCCTGGCAGTCTTTAATTAAATTAAAAAACAAAATATTAGTTAAATTTCAATAAAAATTGCTGTGTTAGAATTAAATGTGTTAGAATAGCTTAGAATCTCCTAATTCTATTTTAAACAAATTTTAATGGAAGGGGTATAGACACAGGGAATGTCTTTTCTATAGTAAGTTAAATTTAAAATTTAATTTGAAACATGAATATGTCAGGTTGAACAATGCCTGTCAAAAAAAACACCATCATCATCATCTACTCTACTTTTTTATATATTAGTATATATTTAAAAATTTATACCCAATCCAAGTGCAAGTGAAACTTCAGTTGATTGATTAGGAAGTAGTGGTGCTGGAACATTAAGAACAGCAGGAGTCAAACCAAAACTGTTTTTATTAAATTGTATTGCAAAACCTCCCATTGGCTGCATTGCGCGATTACTAAGTGTTAAATCCATGTATGGTTGACCAAGGCGTCTTGAAAAAGTACCTAAAATAAACGACTATTTATAAAATAAGTTTAAAAAAATGAAAAATAAGATAATAAAGAGTTTAAGATAACAAAACATTATTTTGAAAAAACATTTAGAGTATACCTTAAACAGGGCACAACAAATTGGTTTTTTCTTTATTTATTGACAAAAATCGGTTTATTGACAAAAGTTGGTTTTTTTTTTTATTTATCGACAAAAAAAAGAAAGAAAAAAAAAAAGAAAAGAAATTCTATATATAGAGGAGTTATTTTTAGAAATAGATGGTTCCACTTCGAAACCCATGTCATCGGCCATGAATAAACCAGTTTTATTTTCAATTCTTTCAATTTTTTTTTTTATTCAATTAATTTATTATTCAATTATATATTTTTGATTTCAAATAACTTTTATTCTAGTTGACAAGATATATAATAATTAGATATATCAAAGATACTTATTGAATAATTTAATAATTAGATATATCAAAGATACTTATTGAATTTTATCAATTTTTTATTAATTTAAAACAATTTTTCACGCATATAAAAAGTCCGCGCAACTAAATGATAACTAATATGCAATAACCTTATGACTGTAAACTGTTATCTTTATGACTGTAAACGGTTATCTTTATCATTATGACTGTAAACGGTTATCTTTATCGTTATGACTGTAAATGGTTATCTTTATCGTTATGACTGTAAACTGTTATCTTTATTGTTATGACTGTAAACTTTTATCCATTAATACAAAATAGTGAATTTTTCTCAATTTAGTTTGTTAAATTTTGTTTTATTATAAAAAAACGCATAAACTTGAAGAAATTGTTAATAAAAGTGAACTAAAATTAGAATAAAAGTTGTTTTGACATTTCTTTTTTAAAACAATTAAAAAATATATATATATATAATATTAATTATTTAATAAGTTATTATATTAAGTTATTATTAAATACTTAATATGATATTATTATATTTATTATATTAAGTATTTAATAATAAAATATCATATTATTAGTGTTGTTAAACGCACAGTGAAAAATTAAAAAAACAAACAATGTTTTAGCATGGTTTCTTTTAAAGTAATTGCAAATTTCATTTTAACAAAATGTTACCATGCTTTTGTAAACACATGTAAAAACCATGCTAAAACATAATTACTTTCTTCAGTTGCGTACTTAATTATTAAACTTAAAAGTAAGACTATTTAAAAATGTATTAGCATGGTTTCTTTTAAAGTCATTGAAAATGCATTTTAAATTTTAATAACATATTGTTTTTTTATATTAAATATCTTTTTTATATAATAAATTAAAAAAAAAAAACAATCGTATAATTATTTGGAAAAAAACTTATTGAAGTTATGTGTTCGTTTTTATTTAAAATTTTTAAAATTTTAAGTGAACACCAGCATTTGCTTAAGTAAAAGTAAGGAAATGTGATGTTCGTTTTTCTATCTTTTTTTAACGGTTGCACGCTCGTCGATTTGTGGCGCCCTGCTTAAAGCATTAAGAACATACCTGATATCTCAAACCCTTTTCCTTTTGCTGCTGGTAACCAAACCTAATCATATACAATTAAAAAAAAAAATCACAACAACTTGAATTAAAAATTAAAGACAAAAGTTTTATCAAAAAAATTATTACAGAGATCATCTAGTTCATATTTTAAAATTTTTTCAAATTTTTAAAATATGACCAAGAAAAAAAAGTTTAAAAACACATAATTACTTTCTTCAGTTGCGTACTTAATTATTAAACTTAAAAGTAAGACTATTTAAAAATGTATTAGCATTGCAAAAATATTTAAACATATTTCAAAAATATTTAAACTTGTGTTTATGGAAGACTTTTTGGAAATCCAAAAAAATTAAAAGTTGTAGGAAATATTCAGAATTGGATATATCTGGAAAAAAAAACAACACTTTGATTATTATAAACAAAAAAAAAAAGTTTTAAAATACATAGCTGAAAATATATAAAAAATTTTAATAAGATAATAAATAATTAAAAATTATAATAGTAAATATTTTTATAAATAGTTCAAAGCTGTAAGAATGAATGTTTGTGGGAAAAGCATTTCCACAAACAAAATGAAATGCTTTTTTGATCTAATCATTTTCTTGACTTCAATTTAGATATAAAGGATGAAATTTCACAAATAAATGATTACTTTCTTACTAAATACATCTTTTTTTTTAATTATTCACCTCCCTAAGGCTGAGAAGGCCACTACAGTCAAGGAGGCTACTTTTTGTGGTTACAACCCTCTCTCAACTCTATAACTCCGAAACACAAGCCTCGATGAACAAAGCCGCTGTGCAAAGAAATAAGTTGAGTGGATTACTACCAGGGACATGGTGGGGATCAAACTCTGAACTTCTCACTTATGAGGCGAGTGCTCTACCACTACACTACTACCGCATACACAAAATATAAACACAAAATACACAATCACAAAACTCTAATTTTAAAGAAAATATTTTAACACATAATTTTATACAACGCTAATTTTTTAAACACATTTCGGAATAGGAATTTTTAATTCTATTTATACAGGTAGATATGATTGACCAGAACCCAGTGTACATAATGTTAGGAGATAAGAGATAATTTGGAGATAAGAGTTGATCATTTAAATTTATAAAAAATTAAAATAGTAAAAAAAAGACTATTCTAATTAAAAATTAATTACTTTCTAACAAACCCCCCTAAAAAATTCTGAATTTGAATCTTATTTGTAAAAAAAGATGCGTAACTAGTTAATTGTAGAAAATGAAATATAAAGTTAACATGATTGCAAATGAGCATGCAAATAGAAAAATTTTTCAATTTTATAATTATATTAAAGCAACACAGATTAAGAAAATTCTTTAAATAAACTAAATTCTATATTGTTTAAATTTAAACAACATACCTAAAAACATACCTGTTTGGGAGCTGAATAACCTGAGCCAGGAAGAGCAGTTTGTAAAGTAAAAAGATCGTTAAGTCCAGTCACAGGAGCAGGTTGTTGCGGAATAAAAGGTGATGGTGTGCTAAGCATATTTAGATCACCCCCCAAGAGATCAAGAACTAGATTGATTAAATATATATATATATATATATATATATATATATATATATATATATATATATATATATATATATATATATATATATATATATATATATATATATATATATAAATGACAAAACATAAAAATAAAAGTATTTCCATTTTCAAAAAAGAAATACTATATATATACTTAATAACTGTCCAGAATGTTATTCATCAATATGTATTGTACACAACATTTATAAGAAATATTGTGTAGAATAAAGGGTTTTTAAAACATTTTACTTAATTTTTTGTCAAGACCTGAACTATGAATTTTTTAACTTAAAGTCAATTAAGAATGAAAATAAAATCATAAATAGTAAAATCATAAAACCAAAGAGATCAACCTACAAACTGTGGTTTTTGAGAAATTGAGAAAGATTGTAATCTTTCTCAATTCTGCTATTAAACTGTTTTGTTTAATGAATATGTCTCTCTGTATGACTAAACATAGTTACCATAACAATAATAGTAAACATTGCTTACATTTAAGACATACAAGGAAAAAACTTAGTAAAAGAATCGTTGTTGAGTTTGTTATGGCCTCTGCGATAATTTTATTTTATAGTTTAGACTGTTTTTTAATTTGTGGTTTTCTTGCAATTAATTTGTGTAACTTTTAGTTATTCAACAAAGATTTTTCAAGTTTATACTTTAGTATATTTATAATGCGCTGGTCAAAAAAAAAACTAATTAACTTTTTATGTATTGAATTATTAAAATTTACGAAGTTGTATTTATTGATAATGATTTAAAGTTAAAATTATTGTATTGTACAACTTTTGTTTTAGCACATCTTTTTAAAACTATTTGTAAAGTTTGAATTCAAGTATATGTATGGTTTTCAAGATATTATTGTTAAATAAAGGTTTGTTTTTTTGCCCAAATTTAGTTAACTTATTTTTATAATTATATATTTTTTTGAAATGATTTAATTTAACACTTCAGAAAAACATATGTCCCCATTTAATATCGAGATTTAATTTTATCCTATTTAAAGGGTATAATTCCCTTAATGTTTATCTTTAACACTACTGCCACCTTAAACAGTTATATATGGTATTCTAGTAAAAAAATTAGAATCTTTTTTTATGTGATCATGTTTTATTTCATGTGATTTTACATGAAAACAAATTCTTTAATTCTTTTTTTGAATTGTTTACCTGAATCTGAGGTAGGTTTGACTTGTGTTGGCATTCCAGTGTATTTTTGAGTTGGTGGAGGAGCAGGTGGCTCCATATCTAAAAGATCACCTAATAAAGAAGAGGGTTGAGAAGCCGATTGATTTATAGTTTGATTGGCAACCTGGGAAATTGCAGGTTGCTCAGTTTCCGATACATCGTCCAAATCATTAGTTGAAGATGATAGAAGAATAGTGCGACGACCTGCTGTTTTACCCGCAACAAATGAGCTAGGAGGTCTATGGTAAACTGATGCAAGAGTAGAAATGTGACAAATCAGCTCATCAAGTAGCGTTGGTTCTAACAAATCTGTCTCTTCAGAGATTAATGGTTTTTCTGCTAGCACAACATCCTAAATTGTTATGTTTATAACTTTTTTTTAATTTCAATTATTTTTTATTAAAAAAAAAAAAATTTAGAAAACTTTATTAAAAAAAACCTTTGCAGCTGCTGGGTCAGTGGAAAGCAACCTCCAATATATATAACCACGATCCCTGAGATCTGGATTATCACTATCCTGGGTTGCAAGACTAAGAACTTGCTGTACAAGTTCTTGAGTATCAGTTGGTCTCTTTAAAAATAACTTGACAATTGCTGTGAGTAACTGCAGCTGTACTTGAGTATTTTCATCAGAAAAACCATCAAGAAATGTGGTAAGAAGTTCGTCAGCATTATCAATACGTTCAGCATACTCTCCAATGATCCATATCATAGAAGCTCTATAAAAAATAGACCAAAAATATACTTAAATAATTATTATAAGTAAATTAAATATAAATAAAATAATCAAAAATAATTTTTCATATTTTAATACTAAAACAAATATGAAAACACTTTTTTCAACACTAAAATTTAACATCTTATTTTTTTCTGAATTTCTGTAAAGTATTATTTCTAATTTTTGTATTAACTGCCATATATTTCTTTTATATTTATTTTTTGCCCTTATACTTTAAAAATTAAACTAAAAATAAATTATTATAACATTGGGTCTAATACCTGGCTTCTGGTTCATCTAATGAATCAAGGTTTTCACAAAGTGTTGAAATAATACTCTCATATTTATTAGGGTATCTTCGAAATATGTCCTAAAAATAAAAAAGCTAAACAACATTAGCTCTCTTGAACATTTTATGTGTAATAAAAAATAAATTTTTACCTTTAAAACCACAATGGCTTCTTGAACAACATAATTGACCTTGTTTTGAATTAAATCCAATAATGTTGTAACACATTTTTCAGCTGATTGCTAAAAAAATATAAATTATACTATAATAAATTAAACACTATTATTAAAAATTATTCTTTTAAGAAATTCTATTATGGAACTTTAAGATTTTAAAAGAGCACAGTCATAACTTAGGTGTTGCAACTTAGTTTTACAATTTATAATAAAAAATAGCTAAAAGTATATTATAAAACATGATAGCTAAAAGTATATTATAAAACATGAAAGCTAAAAGTATATTATAAAACATGAAAGCTAAAAGTATATTATAAAACATGAAAGCTAAAAGTATATTATAAAACATGAAAGCTAAAAGTATATTATAAAACATGAAAGCTAAAAGTATATTATAAAACATGAAAGCTAAAAGTATATTATAAAACATGATAGCTAAAAGTATATTATAAAACATGAAAGCTAAAAGTATATTATAAAACATGAAAGCTAAAAGTATATTATAAAACATGAAAGCTAAAAGTATATTATAAAACCAAAATTAAAGTTTATTTTAGTTATACTACTAAAAACCTTGATAATTTATTTGTTCTACTAAAAAAATGTTTATTTTTTGTTGTTTCGAACTTTTCTGTTTTTTATTTTAGGTTGTAGCATTTTTGACATCATGCGATAAAAAGGAGATTTTACTTGGTTTTATAAGATTTTTAAAAAACTTTGATTTTTTGTCTAATTGAAAATAACTGCATCCCATTAGATGTCTCTTTCTCAAAGAAAATAAAAATATTTTTAAAAACTTCCTAATTTACCAAAATAATAAATAAGCATTTTATAAAATTAATTATGGAATTGAAATTAACAAATTTCCTTTTTAAATTTTATCCTTTATTAACAAATTATTTATTGAATTTTATCATTTATTAAAAAACCAAAATTCTTTTGTCATAGAGAAACTTTATTTCATTTCGTGTTATTTAAAACATTGACACTGAAAATTAGTTTTATTATTTTATTGCAGATATTGTACTTTCCTCCTATATCTATTTGTATAGGAAAGATGGGGGATGGAATTGTTAGGAGAGGGTATAAATTAGAGATATGCCTGAGTTCCAGTTTTCCAGCGGTTTTACGTGTCTATGCTGAGCAACCCGGACTCCTATTTATTTCGAGTAAGCTGTAAAACTGGAGGAATAATCCAAGCCAAATACTTGGTACTTTTATATTTCATGTACCAAGGAAAAACTGACGAGTACCCGATTAAATTATTCTATGACAGTTTTGCTGGGTACTCGAAATATGTACATGTGCCAGGTGCTCAATGGAAACAAACTGGGTCTCCTGCACATCTTACAATTATACAGGAGAAACAATGATGCACAATCCATTTGCACAAAACCTATCAGTCAATGTATGTTTAGATATAAGTTGCTCGCATATACACATATTCCATATTGAATACTGTTACATTGTAACAATAAGATTTTAAAAAATTTAGTACAAAAGTTATATACTTCCACTTTGATAGCACATCTTCCAATAGCTCTAACAGATTTACGCACAAAATCAACATCTACTTCTGTAGCATATCTGCAGGCAAAAAAGTCATAAAAATTGTTTACATAGTAATAAAAAGTTAAAAGATAATTATCACTATCTATAGTAATGATAACCAATAAAAAAACCCTATCTATAACCTATATCTATAGTAATGATAACCAATAAAAAAAAAGAACGACTTACTCCTTAAGTTCAGCTAAGACTTGAGCAATATTTTGTTGGGATGCCAATCTGATCATTATATCAAGTTTTTCAAGTTTAACATATATCGGATCGTTGTATTTCACAAAGAAAGCTTTAATTTCCTGTTTCAAGATATCAGGTCTATGAATGAGAAAATACACTATAAAAAATATTATATGAAGTTATCAGTTGATAGATCACATTCATACTGCCATATTTAGGATAATCTTTAAACATTTTTCTAGTGTGTAAGCTAACTGCTAATTTTGTAAAACTATTTTTACTACTTAGACTATTTATAATAATTAATCATATTATATTGTTTTATTATATTACTTATTTTTGTACAAAACTTTCAACATCTATATACTAAAAAAAAAGTTTTTATTTAGTATTTGCACAAAAAATAGTATTAACAATAAGAATCTAGCAATTGTTTTAACAATAGAGACCTATTAATTTGTGCAACAGCACAAATAAAAAAATCTTTATATAATGACCAATACTACACTAGCATAAATTATATTTATTATGGATTGACCAAAAATATATTAGCATAAATTATATTTATTATATAATGACCAATACTATATTAACATAAAACACATTCTTTAACAAGCATTAATGATACTTAGTAAAAGTAAAAAAAAATTATATACTTATCTTTTTTTTTAAATTCAAATTTAATATATTTTGTTTTATATAAATCTTCAAAAAACTAAAATTTAAGAAATTTAAAATGTCTAAAAAAAATTAAAAAATTAAAAATAAAACTAAAAATTAAAGAAATAAAATTTTTTATACCTTTTCTGCACAATCAAATTAATATTTCTTAGAGCAACATATTGTACTTCAGGCTCAGAAGAAAGAAGAGTTACTATAAAAATAATTTATTATATAAATAACTCATAAAATTAATCATATCAATCCAAAAAAATTAAAACTTTAAAATTTTTTTCAAAAATGATATATAAATGGATAATAAAAACGCACCAAGTGGCGGAGCTAGCTTTTTGGAAAGACTTTGAAGAAATGGAGATCCTGCAGGCATCATTTCCATAAGTTTCATTAAAACCTAGTAAAATATCATATACGTAGATGAGTATTTGACTTTATGAAAACCCCGGAAATTTTTTTCTATGAAAAACCCAGAAAATTATTTTATTAAAAAGTGATCATGTTAACAAAGTCTGTTAATGTTAAATTTGTTTTCTGACAATAAAAACTTTTTTAAACTTTTAAAACAGAATTTAGATTATTTAACTTTTTACAAAAAGTAATTTCTAATATTTGAAAAAGTTAAATTGAATGAATTAAAAAACAAAAAAAAAAAAGAAAAAATTTTTTTTAAGAAAATTGATCTCGTGAAAGTTTTAATTATAGAAAACATATCGTAAAACCACTTAATTACAGATAATACCTAATTACAAATGGTTTTATAAAAAGCTATGTATCGTTTATATTAGATCAAATTTATAATTATTATTATTTTGATAAATAAACATAAACACAAGACAATTCGAACAATAAAAAAACAATTTAAAAATATATTTACAATCATATTAGCTTTCAACTTGAAATCTAAGAAAATTAAATTAACAAAAAAAATGACAAAAAAATAACTTAGTTTTGCAAATAAAACTGAAAATTGTATAAACACTATTTTGTTCCAAATTTGATGCTGATTAATATTATGCAAAAAAATTCCAATAATATTAATATTTTTTTAAATATATTTAAAATAAGAAAACAACAAGTACAAAAAAAAAAAAGATACCTAATTCCGGATACAGGTAAATATTATTTATTTATGCTTAATTGTGTGTATGTAAAATGTGTTAGTTTAATTCCGGATTTACGTACTAATAATAACAATAATGATAATAATAATAATAATAATAATAATAATAATAATAATAATAATAGTTACATAATTTTTATTTATTTACCCATAATCTTGTGTATATAAATGAGCTCATTTATTTATTGTATTTTAAAATGAATGCAGCTAAATTAAAACAAAAAATAGAGAAAGAATCTCGAATGCAGTAAGCAATTCAAGCCATTAATGATTAAACAATGTCATACGAAGAAGCTTTCAAATCTTTCAATGTGCCAAAATCAACTATTCATGACCGAGCAAAAGGCAAATACAAATCTGTTGGAGCCGGTGTGCCAAGAAAAATGAGTCAAACTGTCATGGTAATTGTTATTTATCTTTTAAAGTTTATGAGGGATATTGGTTTTGGTTTGAAGAGAATTGACGTTATGATTATTGTTGAAAACTATCTGAAAGAATCATAACAAACTCACTTATCTAAAGATGGGAAACCAACTGAAAAATGGTACAGTGGATTTATAAAATAATATGAAAATGAAATTAGAGTAAGAAAAGCTAGTGGCATGCAAGCTATTAGAGCAATGGCTACACAGCCAAAAATAATTGACGACTGGTTTGACCAAGTTGGCGCCATCTATTTTGAGCGCAATCTCAACAATAAGCTATTTCATATTTTTAATTGTGATGAGTCAGAATTACAGCTCAACCAAGGCAAAGTTAAAATTGTTTGCAAAAGGTACCAGAAACCTAAAAAAATTAGCCCAAACAAACGACAAGAAAATGACAACTATTTTGACATGTTATGATGCATTTGGGAATTATTTACCACATCAAGTAATTTACAAAGGTAAAAATATTCTGAAAAGCTGGTGCATAGGTGGTGCTAAAAATGTTTATTATAATAAAAGCAAATTAGGTTGGATGGAGTCAAAACAATTTCTTGAGTGGTTCAAATTAGTTTTTTTGCCTCATGCACATAGACTTGATGCTTTTAAACTGCTTTTTCTTGATGGTCATGCTTCACATATTAGTTTAAAATTGAAAAACGTAGCCTTCAAAAATAAAATTATACTTTGGCGCTTGCCTGCTCATTTTTTACAGCCTTAACATTTTTACAACCTTAGACATAGGTGTCTTTAAAACAGTTAAAGGCGAATGGAAGTGAAAAGTAGACAGTTTTTTAAATAGAAATAAATTTCAATCGTTAAGAAATAGAGAATTTCCTGTCATGTTTAAGGATCTTATTGAAAAAAATTATTTTAAACCTGAAAATGCCTGTAGTGGTTTATTTCCACTTGATCGATCAAAAATTTCTTCTGAAAAAACTGCAATAGGCAAGGTTTTTGAAGCTGTTGAAAATGAGAACATTAATAGTTTATTTCAGCCTGTTACTAACACTCCAAAAACACCATTAAGTAGAATGTCAAACCAAGATGTGTTACTTAGAAGTTTAGATACGATAAATGAAACAGCTAAAAAAGCTAGAAAAGACATCAACCAATCAGTTTTGATGTTGCTCAAAGATCAACACCTTCAGATAATAGAAAAGAGAAAAGTGAAAGAATTAAATGGGCAGCCAATTATAATATGACCTCAGCTGAGGCTATAGCTTTTGACAAAGTTGAACAAGAATCAAAAAAACAATAACTAGACAAACAAGAAAACTATCTAGAGAACAAAATAAAATTGCTGCTGCATCTCAAAAAAAAAAAAAGCAAAAAAAAAGCAAAAAAAAAAAAGATACGAAAAAAAAACTATAGAAAGAAAGTCTAAAACAAGCCAATAGCTTGTAAAATAACAGTTTGGTTAATTAATTTAATGAGTTTATATGTGTGTTTTTTCTATTTTGTATCTATCCGGAATAATGTTAATTAGGTTGTAATTATCCGGAAATTACCCTAATTCTGGATAAAAACAAGTTTTTTTAAAATTTATGTTCAGTGAAATTTAAAATTAAAATAATATTATTTTTTTATATCGTTTGATTCGTCTTGTCGCTGCACATATTTTAGTGTTTTTTTTTGTTTTTTTTTTAAATTAGTTATAAAAAGCAAGATATTTAACTTTACTTCAAAATGTTCGAAATTCGGTGAAAAAATCGGTGGTTTTACAATATTTGTTTAAATGCAAAAGTTGTCGTATTTAAGATTGTATGTAAAAATATATAAATTTTTTTTCAAACTAATAACAAAAAATATCCGGAAATTTCTGGAAAATTAAAGAAGTTTCAAGTCAATTTCTGAAATTCTGGGAATTCTCTGAAAAAACTTATCTATGCATATATATATATATATATATATATATATATATATATATATATATATATATATATATATATATATATATATATATATATATATATACACATATATGTAAAGGTCTGACCACAAAACATAGAAACAAGGTCAGTAATTTTTTGCCGACCTCAAAGACTTTCAGGACGGCAGTTAGTTCGGCAATGCTGAATGCCGACCCTAATTCAGAGGGTTGTATGTATATATATATATATATATATATATATATATATATATATATATATATATATATATATATATATATATATATATATATATATATATATATATATAAACATATATCACCAACACTTAATTATTTTATATCACAACACTTTATTATATTATTTACTTATATACTATTCTAATATTAATTATATAATGAGTGTCAAAAATTTTTGTGTGTTTTTATTTATTAATTATCTTCACAAATATTTGTGGTATTAATCTTATTTTTTTTTTAAGATTCACTTTTCCTCTATAAAAACTTATTGATTTAATAAATAACTATTTTTTTCATTTTAGAAAATGAAAAAGAACCACTACTAAACTACGAAACTAATTCAAAAAAAAAAAGAAGCATAGAATTTTGTTTTCTGATGAAAAGATGTTGGATATTAATGGCCTGCGCAACGCACAAAACAAGAGAATCATGGTTATAAATTGTAGAGAGACAGATGGAAAAGGTGGTATAAAGAAAAAACATTAATTTCCACAAAAAGTTAAGGTGTGGTTAGGAGTCATATTGAAAGAAATAACCCCATTGGTCATTTTGAACAAAAGATTGGTAAACCACAAAGTTTGCATAGAAAATGTTTTGCCAGTGGCTTAAAAATATGGAAACCAAGTGTTTGGTGACAATTGGATATTATAGCAAGATGTAAGCAGGTAAGCACCTGCTTACACATTTTCCCAAAATGTGTAAGCAGGTAAGCACCTGCTTACACATTTTCCCAAAAATCGTACTAAGGTAACTTTCAATCTCTAGTTTTGAAAAAAATACTGCAAATCTCCTGAGCCCGTCAGACTCTAATGGGATGAGTATTTCAACAAATGAACTGGTGTAAAATATGTTTAAAAACACTTTTATGTAAATAATAAAAAAAAATTTTAAAAATTATAAAAAAAATTAAATAATTATGAACTAACAACCTTTTTAAAACAATTAAATCATAAATATTTTTAGAAATATGTAACAAATAAATGTATAACTGTGTAAAGTATGTAATAAATATTGTACAATTAAAAAAAAAAAACTTACTTTAACAGCAGAAAGAACAACAGCAGCATTGGCATGAGATAAACGTGGGGTCACACGTTCACAAATACTATAATGAAATAAATTGTAAGTATGAATAAAATTTGGCTTGAATACAAATATTTGGGTTTTATATATATATACAACAAAAGATTTGGGTTTTATATATATATATATATATATATATATATATATATATATATATATATATATATATATATATATATATATATATATATATATATATATATATATATATATATATATATATATATATAAATTGTTGAGTTTGAGAGTACATAAGGCAAAAAATAAATCTTTTGACAACAAATTTATTTTAATTTTTTTGTATGTATTATTTTTATATATTTTTTAATTACTTTTTTCTTTTAACATTTCTATGTTATCATAGTTGTGTTAAAGCCAAAATTATTGAATCAATTGGGAATATAAAATCATGTTTTTTAAAATACCACAAAAAAGCATACTTAAGTGATTTGAAACTTTGTTTTAATGCAGAATGTTTATTTTCATTTTTTTAATATTTTATACAGTTTTTTCTATTTTGTTTGTTTTAATATTCTTTTTATTTTTATTGGCTCATTTATTTAGGGCACAGCAGAGTGTACATACATCAAAGGAAATAGGTAGAACATGTGTGGAGTGTACATACAATGAGTGACTTAAATAGGTAGATCATGCTAGGAATGCCGCTACATCAAGTTAAGGTTTTAGCTTGGTCAATGTTAATTATTTTTAACAAAACAAAAAATCTACTCTTGTTTTGAACTTTTTCATGTCAACAGATTATGCAAAAGCTTCCAACAACCTCTCTCTCTCTCTCTCAATCAACACTGTTGTTATGCAAAAATAATTAAAACAATTAGGTATCCATAGTAACCAATTAAAATGATTACTTTCATAAGAAGTGTGAATCTCATTTTAATACACAGACACATTGGAGCTATATATGGAGTACAAATTTGGTACCATAGCAACCAATTTGTACTCCATAATTAGCTCCAATGTGTCTGTCTACTTCCATAAAACCAAGTGTGTTGGCTTCCTTACATGTTAAAGAACAGTTTATATATATATATATATATATATATATATATATATATATATATATATATATATATATATATATATATATATATATATATATATATATATATATATATATATATATATATATATATATATATATATATATATATATATATAAACTGTTCTTTAACATGTAAGGAAGCCAACACACTTGGTTTTATGGAAGTAGACAGACACATTGGAGCTATATATGGAGTACAAATTGGTTGCTATGGTACCAAATTTGTACTCCATATATAGCTCCAATGTGTCTGTGTATTAAAATGAGATTCACACTTCTTATGAAAGTAATCATTTTAATTGGTTACTATGGATACCTAATTGTTTTAATTATTTTTGCATAACAACAGTGTTGATTGCTATTTCATTACATTTTAACATTTAAAAGGTAATACTTAGCCACAGTTATAGATGATAAGGTCATTTTAAGCTCTAATAAATAAATAATAGAATTAGCATAATATAAAATTTTATTTCATTATTTAAATGTGCTAAACTTAAAGTATTGTGGCTGAAATTTAAAAGTTGGATGTACTACTGCTGAAAAAGTTGCATGTCACCATGGCCACATTGTCATCAGTTCTGCCAATTAATGCAGATGCATTTCGAAAGTATTGCCTTGAGGTCAGTTTATTTGTTAATATTATTTCTATACTGAGCTGTGGCTAACTTAGCTTTTGTAAGTACATGATCGATTGCCTTTTTCAGGTACTTATTTGTTTGTACAAAGCTAACCATGGTATTACATGCCACAAAGTTTGCACAAGGTATTATTACACGGACATGAGATTGTGAGGAGAATATTCTTGCCTATAGACATGCTCTCTGAACAAAGGAAGCATGAAACAAGGATTTTAAAACTTTCTGTAAAAACTACACACGCAAATGCATTCGTTTTGTAACTAACTATGATGTATTATGTTGACTTTTGTGCTCATCAGACCCTTTAATCAGCAGCATGAAGAGGTCGAATTCTCAAACTTCAAAATCTCAACCCCTAGAGGAAGTTTAGTGATTTGCTTCAGGCTCTGACTGTCAACTCACCAAAAAATTGACTTCTTCTTTTATGCATGTATGTTTTTGTAAATTGTTTGTTTCAAATTCTCAATGTTTTATTGCAATACTTTTTGTTTCTATTATTAATGACCTAAACTTTACTTAAAATTAATTACCTAAATATTGTACATTTAATATTTAAAATAGGATGGTTAAAAATCAAATAAAAATTTATTCAAAAATCCGTTCATCTGTGTGTAACTAAGGAAAGTATCTGGTTGTTAAACAATAAAGGTATTCATAGCAACTAAATTAAAAAAACTATGACTTCTATATAAAGTATGACCTCATATTGGTACTCATGTCAAAATAAGTAAATATAGGACTTTGCAACTATCAAAATAGGTTGTTGCTATGTAAACTAGGTAACCACAGCAACCTAATAATAAATATCCCCCTCATAAGAACCTAATATTAATGCAAACCTCATAATAATGTACAAACTAATTTTAATGTATATAACACACATAAAACATCTGCAACTACCAAAAATAGGTTGTTGCTAAGCAAAGTTAGGCATCCACAGCAACCAAATATAAAAAATATCTTTCATAAGAAGCGCATATTTAGTAAATAAAGACCTAATATTTAATTAGTTGTCAATTTTGCCCATTAAAAGTGAACTGTGGCCCACTGTGATATGTTGCAATTTCTGCCAATGGTCATACTGGTTTTCATCTTTTACAACAAGGCAAATTCTGTGAACTATTTGGAAATTCTGTTTGGTTTTGAAATTTTGATATTTTCATACACAATTTGCCATTGGATAAAAAGACATGGCTAAATTTTTTCATCAGACAAAAAAACATGGCTTTTTTTTTGTTCTATGATTTGTTTCAATTTGCTTCTTTACTCTCAAGCAAACTTGTTAAACTGGAACATATATATTTTTTTGCAACAAATTTAATATATTAATCAATTTGCCTGCTTTTTAACTGATTAATTATTTAAATTAAAACATAATGTGGAACAATTATACAAAAGAGTTATTGCTGCTTGAAAAAACAGTTTGATTTAATATTTTTATGCGTCATAATATTGCATCATGTGAGAAGTTTTTAAAGAATAACTAAATAAAAAACATCAACATACCTAACATGTTTTTTTTTTCAAAAATTTCATATTTTGTGCAGGCTTTATTTTGCTCATATAATCTACTTAGATAATGGTGCAGGCTAAAACCCACAATTCCTGTTGAAGCCTGTATATATGTATGCAATGTAATATGTAATACTATAAGTAAAATAGCCTCTATTCTTTGTGGATTTAAGCAACACGAGACTCACAACATTGGGGTATTATTTTATGACACCATGCTTTCATTATAGCTTTTCTCGAATCTGCTTAATTGGGTTCTGTAAAGAAACTAATGGTTTCAATATTACCCTACAGTTTTTAATGGGGTTTAAATTTGGTGAATTGTCCACAAGTCAAGAACATTAAAACTGAATTGGATTGAATAATGTAATATGTAATATTTATATATATATACATACTTTACATACATACTTTATTTTATCTGTCAAGTAATAGTAAAATGCTTCATCAAGTTACCTTTGTGCCTCCTTATCATCTCGTGGTGTGTAATTAGCAAGAGAATCTAGAATAAATATCTGACCCCACCTAAAAAAACACATAATATTTATAAACAAATATAAAATATTATAATGCATTATTTTTTAAAAAAACTAAATATTTTTTTCAACTTTTTAAAAAAGATTTTATGCATGCCAACAAATAATAAATAAAAACCTACTCAGTGCATTCATTTAATGCTGTAAGGAGTTTGTTTATTGTTGCAGAATTCATTTCAAAGTATTGATTTGCATTAGGAGATGACTCTGCAATTTCTGTTAATGATGCGACAGCATTTGCAACAACCTTTAAATTGAAATTTTTTCTTTTAATTTTGAAAATGTTGTTTATAATAAACTAGTGTTAAATATTTAATGAGTTAGCAATTCCAACTGCCAAAACAATATTTAAAAACAGATGTTGTTTCTTGAGATAAAAGCAAACATGAATGAAGAATTTCATTCACAGCCCTTGGAATTAAGATGAATTAACTGCCAACCTGACAGTTAATATCTTGGATCGATATTTTTTTGCGGACCTCAGAATTTTAAAATTTTATTTTATTTGTTATTATAAACAAAGTTAAAAAACAGCAAAACAAATGCTTTACTTAAATTTTAAATAAAATAATTGAATAAAAAACAGCAAATTGAAAGTTCTATTCAAATTCTAAATAAAGTTGTTCAAATAAAAATAAAAGAGCTAATTGTTTTATTCAATGCTTATCAAAACAAATAAAAAACAGAAAAACAAACCATGCAAAACAAATGTTTCATTTAAAATCCTGATAAAATGGTGAAATTATGTGTTAATTTTTTTTAAATTTTAAGCAAACAATCACATTTGAAAGAAAAGTCTGCAAAAAGTTTTCAGTTTATTGACTTGTCGAACTCTGTTTCTAAATTTTGTGCCAACCTGATGAAGACCTAAAACACTTTTTAATTTTTCAATTTTTTGCCTTATTTTTCCTAAATCTGAGGCATTCAAGTTTGCTTTAGTCTTTTTTTTTTCTGCTGATTATAAAATATCTATTTTAATTCTATGTTCTGTATAAACAAGCATCGTCAGGAAGCGGGTGCAATAGCACTCTATATCTGATCACAAAAATTATATTTAGTTGTGATAACTTGGCCACAGCTTTTAGATGTTTTGAGAACATTTAAATTTATGTATGTTTCCATGTATGTACAAAACTATTTGACATTCTAAAACAATTAAAGTTGTAAATAATCTTTTGTAATCAAATGTTTTATATTAGCAAATCACTTTTAAACTAAGCGATGATTTATTTTTATTGATCGTTTATAAAAAGAAAATTTTTAGTTTTATTTTTTAAATTATATAAAGTTAAATTTTATTAAGAATTATAATAAACATTTATATAAATAAAAATATAGATTAATTTTTTATTCTTTAAATGTAAATCTTTTAAAATTGTTTGTATGATGGATTTTATAAAAATAAGACTTTTAAAAACAACTACCTTTTCAATAAAATTTAAAAAATAATAATCATCAAAGTTAATAAAATTAATAATCAAATAAACATACTGGAACTTACAGGAGACTGAACATAAACATATATATATACATAGTGAATTACGAGTGGATGAGCACTGCCCCAAAGGATCGAACAAAACGTAAACATAGATTTATATAAAATGGCTTACAGTTGAACCAGCACCGCACTAGCGATCCATACAGAATAAAAACATACAAGTATATAAAAGAGCCTACTCACTAAATACATCAGCCGTATTGTGAAGCAGTTCCGCTTCCTCTTCATAAATATATTTTACTTTTTTAGTTTTACTATAAAAGTTTGCTTTCTAATAATTTGATGCAACAAAAACGTGTTTCTAGTTTGCAAAAGGCAAAATAAAATCATAATTTACGCAAACTACGCAAAGCATGAAACTTTTTTTTACTTTTTTATTATTATATAATTCAACTACAATTTGTTTTATTAGAATCTTGTTGAAATAAAACATAAATACTTAAAAAAAGATTATTAATGCTTATATTATATTATACGCTTTGATAAATTTAAGAACATTTATTTCTTTACGTTTCATTACTTTTTATAAATGTTGCCTTATTTTATAAAAAAATTATAAAAGAGAGATGTTTAGATACAACTTATTCTAATTTAAAACATTTTTTTTTATTCTACTTTAGAATAAATTTTTTCAGTAGCTGTCTCCAGTCAAGTTAAGTTTCTTTTTGCGCTTTTTGAAAAGTTCTCAATGCATCTAAGAAGTTGTAGCCATGAGCTAAAACTACCATCATTTAAACTATAAGTATTTTTATAATATTGCTTCATATTTATTTCAAATTTATTAATTATATTTATTTAATGAAAAAAATTCTCATTTCAATATGTTTAATTAAAACCTATTTTAAAAATTGTTATTAACTTATAAAAAAAAACTACCATTGGGTTAGAATCTGAGAGTAAGTCTCTCAGCAGCTCTAAAAATCCTTGATCTTCAACAAGAGTAGAGTTTATATCGTGCAACTTGGCAACACAAACTGCTGCAGTTTTTCTAACATATGGATCTTCATCTTTTAAGCATTTTCGCAATGGTTCACACAAATACTCTGTTATTTTATCTACCCTAATGCAACCCATGGTTCTGACAGCTAATGCTCTAATCAATGGATTAGGATCATCACAATCCTAAATACAAAACAAAAAAAAAATTAAAACCGAACTGACCTTGAATAAGACATATTTACCCAAATTAAAAAAGTATCAATTTTAAACAATTTTAAATGGAAACCTTTGCAAATGTATTGACAGCCATAATTGCCATATCAGGTTGAGACTTTGCATAATTCATTAAATATAAATACACAAGCTTCTTTAGCTCTAGATTGTCTGTTTGCATACAATTTATTACATCCGGAAATAATGCACTAAAAAATTAAAATATTTATAAATTGTATGAAGTATATTGTATATTATATTATATAAATTAATATCATGAAGTATATTATATATTGTATATTATATTATATAAATTAATATCATGAAGTATATTATATATTGTATATTATATTATATAAATTAATATCATGAAGTATATTAAAAGTATTATATTATATCAAAAACGAATTTAAAATCAGCATGAGCTGACTTTTAGCATTTTGATTTACTATATGGTCAGCAAACATGAGCGCCAACTTTTAAAGAGACACGAAAGTCTTGTAGCATTGATTTATATTTTTTATTCTCAACTGTTCATTAAATTGACAATGTGCAACAATGAAAAACAATGAAAAAAGAAATAGTACATTAAATTTAATTTCACATATTAAGCCTACAGCCTAACACATCACAGAACACTTGAGTTTAGTTTCAGGATGTTAGTTAGTCTTGTAGCATTGCTTTATGAGTTATTTCCGACTGCTAATGAAATTTTTTTCCCCTTTCTAAAATTTTTTTGCAACTATCAACTTCAGAAAATTTTTGGTGTATTTTTTGAAAAGTATATTATATTAGAATTTTAAAAATTATATTTTTCTTTAAAAATATAATTAAAATGCTATGGTTACTAATTCAAAATGGTAGAAATTATTCAGTAACACTAAATGCATGTATTAAACCAAAAAAATGCCATATAATGTTTTGGAAAGGATGTCTATTTTAGATTTTAAAAAACCAAGCATTTTTGAAAAATACTTTAAATAGAATTTAAAAAAAGCTAATCATGGACAATACAGAAAGTTTAAATCAAACTTATGGTTTATTGCATGAAACATTTTTGAATGTTGAATTATTTACTTGAATCAAACTTATGGTTTATTGCATGAAACATTTTTGAATGTTGAATTATTTACTTGAATCAAACTTATGGTTTATTGCATGAAACATTTTTGAATGTTGAATTATTTACTTAAATCAAACTTATGACTTATTGCATGATACAATCTATTTTGAATGTTGTGTTAAAAGTTTAGCTCAAAAGCAGTAATATTTCCAAAAAATTTTTATTAAACTTGGAAAAAATGAAACTAAAGAAAATAAACGAAACACAAAATACTTTGTAAAAAGTGCTATAGTAAGATGGTATTTTTTAGAACTATTTAAATCAAAGCTTAAATAAATCAATTTAAATGGTGCTTTGATAATGGAAAATTATACAAAATGTATATATATACTGCAAGTGACTTGTAAATACTTACAAAATGACAGACTACATTCGTCATTTTGTGTCATTTTAGTCCCACTTTTTTTACAATACTGACTCATCTAATACTTTGCATTTAAAACTTAGCATTTAACTACATCTAACACTTTGCATTTGTCCATAGAAAAGCAACTAACTGTACCATTTAACATTAAAAAGCACAGCACATCTACACAGCAAAGCCATATCCTTATGACATAAAAAGCAGTTTTTTTGATGTCCAAAATGAATGCTTCCATTAGTAAAAATATTTTACTTGTTGAACCATATTTAAAACTTTTAGTTCCATACATCAACTTTAGATTGAGGACAAACAAGAATTGAAGTTAAGTTTGATAAACTAAACATGTCTGAAATTCAATTTTCAGTAATACCATCATTTAAAAGCTGAGAAATTTTGTTTTTGGTGATTTTTTTTTTGGATGTAACAGCTGAGATTGAAAAGATCTAACAGTTGAAATTGTATGGATACATATTGTTTTTTTTATTTGTATCCATCCAAACTTCGCTTTTTATTTTCTTCTGAAACTCATTTTTTTAATTTTATCAATATTTTAATTTTTACAATAATCATAATAATTTTTAATAACAAATAATTTTTGCTATTTTTAGTTAGTACATAGTAACAATGTACTTACTAAAAATAGCAAAAATTATTTGTTATTAAAAATTATTATGATTATTGTGTTTATGAATAAACACAATAATCATAATCATCTACTGAACAAAATTTAACATATATTAAAAAGTGTGTAGTGTATTTACGTGGTTGTGAGGCAGTGTGATTAACATTCTCAAAAAGTTTATATTTTGAGCTCTTTAATAAGCAATTTTAAAAATTCTTTCTTCACTGACAGATTATTCATATAAATTAACTTACAAGAAAAAGTATTGTATTGTATATATATGGAAAAGAGAAAATAAAATTGTTGCTATGGGTTTTTGCAAGGATAGTATTTATGACTATGTTTAAATATATAAAAAACACAATTTTTTCAGAAAATTAGGGCTCCACAAATTATTTTTTGAATGTGGGCATTCAAAAAATAATTTGTCACAATTCTAATTGTATTTTATATAACAAAATTACACTATATTAACTTTCCAAAATTATTTTAAGACGTTGCTTAAAACCCTTAAACATTTGAAAGGAGGATGCTTATGCTTTACAAAAAGAATCTTTAAAAGTCACCCTGGGTCTTAAAAAAGCAAAGTAATAAAAAAATGAAAAAATAATTATCATTTTATAAAAAACATATATAAAAAAATTATTACAAAAAATTTTTTTGCGTACTTCAAGACCCAGGTAAACATATTTTCAAAGAACTTTTTTATGTACTATAATTACCTAACATCTTTTCCAACTGTCATTATAGCAATAACTTTTTTTACAGCTTCTTTTTTACGATCAGTTTTATGTTGATTTAACTCTGCCTTCAGCTCATAAATTTCACCTGTTAAATAAATTATATTTAATCAGTTAAAAACTAAAAGAATATACTATATCTTAACATCTTAATCAAAAATAAAAATTATTATTTTAACTAAAAAACTAGTTACCTTTCTTAGTAGTGGTAAAATACTTTGAGTCAGTCATCTTTTTTATGTTACTATTAAAATAATTGTGCATTATTAGTTTAGAACAAAAATATGGTTATTTTAATAAAAAGATTTTTTTAATAATATAACTATGTCATATTATAAAACTCAAAAAACTTTTTTACCAACATATTTTATCAAACAAAAGACAAACAAAAAAACAAAAAAAAAAATACAGTAGACGTCAAAGACAAAATTAAATTTATTACCCAGTTTGAAATTTGGTCATCAAATTTCAAACAATAAATTTAATTTCATTTTTTGTTGTTGTTTAGAATTTAGTTATATGTAAAATTTGCAACTATTAGGTAAAAAATTTGTATTGATATGCTATGAAATCTGTTGTAGAATATAACCGCATTTGTCAATAAAAATTTACAAGGAAACTATCAATTTGAAAAATCCTAGATTTTAACCTTGTATATTATTTAGCAGGTGCTAAGTAATAACCTTTATATTTAAAATAATATTCATACCTTTATATTTATAGCCTTTAAAAGTAAAATAATATTTTCAGTTTACAATAAGATGCATAATAACACATCTGTTCATGGCACATTTGCTAATGCAACTCAATTGAATTTTTTTATGACCCAAATAATGTAATTATAAGAAAGATTATTCTATAACATTTTTTAAAGAAATAATTGAAAAACTAAACTTAATCATTAAATGCAATCAAAATTGTTTATAAGTTAATCAAATTCTTGCTTTTTTAAAAGCATATCAACAAATGGAGATTCAAAACATTTTTTAACTATTAAATAAAGTGTACAACAATGTTGGAAAAAAAGCACTATGAACAAATTTATTGTTAATGTAGTGTTTTTTCTTGTGTTGTCTATACATACATACATACATACATACATACATACATACATACATACATACATACATACATACATACATACATACATACATACATACATACATACATACATACATACATAAATATATATATATATATATATATATATATATATATATATATATATATATATATATATATATATATATATATATATATATATATATATATATATATATATATATATTCTGTTGTATTATATTATTATATTTCAATAAAATTATTAAAAATTATAAAATTAGTTAAAAGCTTTCCTTAAATTAAACAAATCCTTTACGATTACAATTAAAAGTGTTTACAATTAACTGTTTTTTGTCTTAAAGTATTTATTACAGTTGCTTTATTAATAAATAATTTGCATTACAAAAAGATTCGATAAGATAATAACAATAATAACAAAAAATATATTTTAGAATGTGTGAGTGAGCATGTGTGTAATAGTCAACACAAGTAGAAAAAAACTAATTTTTTAACAAGTATAACAAGCATGAAAACTACAAGCTCAAGTTAGAATTCATTATTGAAATAAATGAAAAATTAATTATTTTAAAATTTTTTTAAGCATAATTGGGCATGCATTAACAAGTGTATATCAGAGGATTAATAAAGGCCTAGATAAAACTAGTTAATTATATATGCAAAACTATTGATTACTTTTTTAAATGCTTTTAGATGAATGCTAATGTTCTTTTTGCTTTCCAAATATCGATAGCAACTTAATTTAAATATTATAAGTAATAAGTTAATGGAACTTTCCACAGTACCCATCTTTATTATTATAAATATTTACTACTATCTTATTATAATGAAAATTTTCATTATTTGTACACATTAAAAATTATAAAACGGAACTGATTTAATTTAATAAATACATTTTCATATAATTTACATGCTATCAGAAACCCAATATTAAATGAAATATATCAAGCTGTGTTCAACTTCTACTTACAGGTTTGTGTCTTTATTTATAATCAAAAATACTTTGATTAAAATAATTTTATTTTATGCAGCTTTTAAACAATTCAGTAACGAATGAACATTTTATTAAAAAATTACCTTGTTTTAAAAAATTAAAAACTTTTTTTTATAAGTATTACAGACACTAAGGCGGTACAATTTTTTAGTAGTTTACATAAAGTATATTTTGAAAGATGAAAAAAAAACTTTTTCTAAACAATCAACTTGAAAAAGTAGCACTTAAGGTATATGACTATGCCCCCATTACTACATTTGATTTAATATGTTGGTCATTGTTTACATTAAAAATAACCTTTAATAAAATCGGGACTCTAAGGTGGAGTAACAAGATGCCACACTAAGTTAAAGGGACACGCAGATATAGTTTAATTTATGAAATATTTTTTAATATAAAACACATTTTTTTATTTTTATATAAAATATACACTTGGATATAACATTTGGCCGTCTGATAATAAAATGTAATTATTAAAGCTTAACTTTATTCTGCGGCTACTGAATAATGAGTTAACTAAAAAAAATAACTTTTAAAATCAATGAGATCTCAAAAAAAAAAAATAATAATAATAATATAGTGTAGTCTATTAAAATTAAATTGACAGGAGAGAGCACTATCAAGGATAGCAATTTTGCCCCTGGAATCAAATCAAACAGACAATAAACTCACCTACAGATGAAAAGCGAACAGTTAATTATTAAAACTACTATAATAATACAGTGCAAAACAATAACAAAAAATTATTAAACCACTATACTAAATAAATATTTAATAAGTTGGTTTGCAAGGAACGGGTATATTCTATTGAACACATCACAAGTTAACAGGACTTATTCGTTTAACAACAGGGGCGGTCACGGTAGCAGGTGCTTTTAGTGAAAATGACTTTTAGAGGAGATCGTGTAATAGTCAACAAATCTAGCGCGTGCAATTTTGTTAGGAAGAAAAACTACTGCTTAACAATATGGTTAATAGAGAAGTTGTATCAGTTGATAAAGAAGTTGTATCGGACAAGGTATAATAGTCGTTGTCTTTTTCTTGGTGTATACGTGCGCGAAGAAACGAAGAAATGTAAATAGGTGGGGCGTGCAAGGAGATGACGTTAATATTATTGTCTATTTAATAATTCTTATTTTTTATTTTTAGCAAGGAAGTAAAGTGAAATAGCTAATTCTGAACGGACTTGCTTGATCAGTAAAACGTCTGAGAATAATACAATTTTAAGATTTTTATCGAAAGTTTTAAGCGAGTTCCGCGGCAGACGGATGCGACTGTTGTATAGATGGTGTATATATTTCATTCTGTTTTTGTTTTGTTTTCTCGCTTTTAACTCATTTAGCTTTCAATTTTTATATGTTTTTTTGCTAATATGGTTAACATAAAATATTCTAATTTGACACCAGTATTAACATAACTAAATTTGAAGTTTGCCTCATGTTTGGAATTTACTAATTCTCCATCTAAAGTTCGACTCAACCTCAATAATCTTTTTTCAACAAAATGTCTAGATATCAGTCATGCTATACAAGAGTGAAACATGCAAATTAATAATAATAAAAATTTGTTTCACTAAAGATTTTAATATTTATATTGTAACGGAGTTTTTAATGTATATTCTTTACGCAGTTTTTTCACAAAAAATGTTTTATTGTAAACTTACTAAAGCCATGCGGGCTTTAAATTTTATTGTTAAAATTAGTATATGGAAGGATTGTGATAAACCCAATCATCCGTTTTGTCTTTGAGCCCCAGTTTGTCTTTTTTTTTTTTGCGTGTGTGTGTAAAGTAAAAGTTTCATTGCAGTTTTATTATTTATTTCTACAGGCTGGGGACTTACAAATGTGAATCTGTTTTAATAGAGGCAAGAATGCTTACGGAATAGATTCGAAAGCATTCATTAAGCTGTTATACAAAAAAAATGTTGTTATTTACTATATAAATAAAATAATTTTGTTAAATAATTCCTCAATATATATATATATATATATATATATATATATATATATATATATATATATATATATATATATATATATATATATATATATATATATATATATATATATATATATATATATATATATATATATATATATATATATATATATATATATATATATATATATATATATATATATGTATATATATATATATATATATATATATATATATATATATATATATATATATATATATATATATATATATATATATATATATATATATATATATATATATATATATATATATATATATATATATATATATATATATATATAGTGACCAAGAAAGGTTTAAAAAGTTTAGATGGGGGGGGGAGGGCTAAACAGAAATTAAGGAGGCTTAACTAAGCTTAAATTTAAATAGAAAAAACTGAAACTTTGAGTTAGGTTTGAGGGAAAGGACAACGCTCCCTTCGCAACATATCTCTATGCCAGTGTTTATATATATTTATCAAGTACCGACTTTGGTTCTTCCGACTTTCGGTTGTTTATTGCCTTTGGCTTAGCAGACACAGAGGTTTACTATTTATATTCTCATATATAAAAACTTAGTAAAAAATTTGGTTCTATTATAAAGTTTAATTGAACTTTAAATGTTATTTGGCAGTTTTCAATTCTTACTGAATTTTTCAATTGATTTATCACTACTTTTCAGACTAGCTACAGCTCTGAAACTTTCAGCGCTTGTATAGTCTTGGTGAGCTTCTATGTTAAAATTGTTTCCAGCGGCGAAGATCCGTGGAAGAATTTCATTTTATTATATTTTTAATATAGTTTTAGCAATCATCACTTAAATTAGTTCTTTTTTTGATTTCAACAAAGGCATTGTTTCCCGATTCATTAAATAGCAAATATTTTATAAAAGTCTTGATTTTTTTATAAAAGTTTAAAACTAAAACTTATCAATGTATATATAATATCATATAAAAAATTAGTATTTTAATTACTTATTTAATCATATGTATTTGATTTATAAAACATTAAATATATTTATTATGCCGCGTTTCGTAAGTTTTTTTCCATTAAGTACTGCTTTGCAAGTTGTGATGCGAAAGAGTTTCGTTTCGAAAGAAATTTGGTTTTTTATCATTATTTTAAAAAAATAAAACCTTTAAATGTTCATATCTTGCAATACTGAATATAAAGTTTTATTATAAGCATTTTGGTATATAAAAACTTAATTTTTAACAATTATATCCGTTTTTCCAACAAAAATTTTTTTATAGACTTCAAAACGTCGTTTAGCGAAAGAGCTCATTTCGCAAGTGCGACTTCCGTAAACGCTTCTTTCGTATGTAGTATTTCGTAATTCAACTTGCGAATGGCTACATATCGTAAGTAGCATTTGCGAAATGAACATCGACGGTTTTTTTTGCTTCGTAAAATTCGGTACAAAAAAAAATTCTTGATTCCTGAAAGAATTTTATTTTTCCGCAATTGTAAGATATTTTCCCATTAACAGCTTTACATTATACCATGTCGTTTCTTTCTCATTTTGTATCTCTTAACACGCTCAAATTTTTTTGTTTGTCAAACCAGAAAATAATTATTTTTTATTATTTTTTATAAGTCTGTTTTAATCAAATTTCTTATGATTTGTGGATCGGTTTTAGATTCTTTTGATTCTGATCTTCCTGATCGAGAGGATTTCGCCTGATTCTTTCACAAATAGTTTTTCTGAATTTTTCAGTACAAACCATTCTTATTCGCCTGTTTTTTTTAGTGTAATTTTATCTCCAATTGCCTTAAGTCGTTTAATGGTTCGATATACTAACTTGCGGCCAAATGTATGATAATTATTTAAAATAATTAACAATTTCAGTTGTTGTAAAATTTTAATTGTAAACAAAGTAGAACGTTTGACCTCGTTATCACCAATAATCTTGATTGCTTAATCCCAATAAAAAACAAGCTTAAGGTACATAATCACATTGGTATGCTTAAAACTAGCGATGGGAACATTACCAAAGACTCTAAGTTTATAAGTTCAACAATAAACAATTATTTTTATTCAGTTTTTGTCGAAGAACCCCCAACACCTTTACCAATATTTGAAAAGAGAACAGCATCAATTTGCAAAGTCGACGAAAGTTTGTTTACAGCTGCTACAGTACAAAACTACTTATTCTGCCTCGACGAAACTAAATCGATGGGACTTGACGGATTACAGGTCCGTTTTTTAAAAAACTGCGCAAAAGCTTTTGCAATATCTCTTTCTCTAATTTTCATGCAATCCTTTTTAACTGAAAATGTCCCAGATCTTTGGCGTAAATCAAATATTACTCCTATCTTTAAAAAAAGAAACAAACTTAAGGCTTTTTATTATAGGCCGGTATCACCTCTGTACCGCGTGAGAATTATAAAAGAGAGGATTATGAAATACTGTACACTACACATCTAATTTCAAAATCTCAGCATGGATTTGTAAATTACAAAGGTTGCCTTACAAACCTAATTGAATCCCGTGACATTCTTACGGAGGCAGCTTACTGTAGACACCTTGTTGATATAAATACTACAGACTTATATACAGATATATATTCCCCAGGGAATATATATATATATATATATATATATATATATATATATATATATATATATATATATATATATATATATATATATATATATATATATATATATATATATATATATATATATATATATATATATATATATATAGCATATCTAACTTTGAATGGTGTTTCTCTTATACCGATGTAAATAGTAATAGTAAACTTACATATACTTTTTCAGATAAAACATCCAATTATATATATATATATATATATATCTAAAGAAAATTACACCCATTTGCTTACAAATGCTATCACCTCAACATATAAAAAATCGAATACAAAAATAAAAAATCAAATAAATAAAGAAGGTAAACGGATATTAAAAAATCACGACGTTTTCAATAAAATCGACATTAATACCTTTCAAATTGTTTCATAAAATTAAAAGATCATAAAGAAAACTTTACAAATAATCCAACTGTCCGTTTATTAAACCCTGGCAAAAATGAAATCGGCAGAATTAGTAAAGTTATACTTTCCAATATAAACTCTGAACTTGTAGAGAAATTTCATCTCAATCAGTGGAAAAAAACCCAAGGTACCATAAACTGGTTTAATCGCCTTTATAAATCCTTATTTTTGATATTGTTGATTTTTACCTTTCGATATCTGAAAAACTTCTTAATAACGCTGTTCATTTTGCTGAGCAGTATCTAAACATTGACCCTAACCATAAAACATTGATATATCATGCAAGAAAATCATTATTATTTAACGATGATCAAGTTTGGATTAAAAAATCAAGCGGTTTATTCGATGTTTGAATGGGAGCATTTGATGGTGCTGAAGTTTGTGATCTTGTGGGCATTTATATTTTGTTTCAAATTGCTTTATGATAAAAATGATTTCGGATGGTACCGCGATGATCGCTTAGCAGTTTTTAAAAAAAAGAGTGGTCCCCAAATGGAAAAAATCAAAAAACATTTTGTTGAAATATTTAAAAAAAACGAACTCACTATATCAATACAGTGCAACATGAAAATTATAAACTATCTTGACGTCACATTAAATCTCAACGACAATACTTTTTAACCATATTCGAAGCCAGGTAATTCTATAAACTATATTCATGCTGATTCAAACCACCCGCCTAATATTTTAAAACTGCTTCCGCATTTAATTGAGTTAAGATTGTCTGCAAATTCATCAAGCGAAGAAATCTTCCAAAGATCTACTCCTATCTACAATGACGCACTATTAAGATCCGGTTTTAATTACAAACTTTTATATCACCCTAATTTAAATTTACCATATACCAAAAACTGTAAACAAAACATCATATGGTTCAACAATTTTCCTTTCAGCAAAAATGTTAGCACTAATGTAAGGAAAAGCTTTTTAATCTTAATCAACAAACACTTTCCAAAAATCACAGACTCCACAAAATTTTTAACAAAAACACAATAAAAATAAGTTATAACTGTATGCCGAATATGAAATCTTTTTTAAATGCACACAATCAACAAATTATGAACAACAACAAAATTCCACCTAAAAACAACTGCAATTGCATTAATAAAAATACCTGCCCTTTATCAAACCAATGCTTAACAAAAAACATTGTATACCAAGCCAATATAAGTTCCAATAATCCTACTAACACTCCTGTCAACAAATCCTACATCGGTATAAGTGAAACACCATTAAAAATTAGATATGCCAACCATATAAAATCATTTAAAATTCTAAAATACAAAAATGACACCGAATTATCAAAAGAATTTTGGAAATTAAAAGATGCCAACTTAAACCCAGTTGTTAAATGGAAAATAATTAAGCAGTGCAATGCTTACAACCCGACCATGAAGTCCTGCAAACTATGCACATACGAAAAATATGAAATTCTATTTTCCAAAGATAAAAAACTACTAAACAAAAAAAGTGAAATGATATCCAAGTGCAGGCATCGAAACAAGTTCCTTCTCGCCCTATTCGACACGGGTGATTGAGCAATTTTCTAATTAATTAAAAAATTGTTTGTTTTGACGTCAGAACTCATTCCATTGCTTTGTTATGGTTTTTTTCTGTTAATTTCTGTTTTTTGTATTTTTTAACGGTTTTTTCTTAATTTAAAAAATAAAATATGGCTGACGATTGCCGAAGGGCATGAAATTTTAAGTTCCATCACAAAGTTGTATTTTTTCAAATAATCAAAACTCTTTATATAATATATATATATATATATATATATATATATATATATAATATATATATATATATATATATATATATATATATATATATATATATATATATATATATATAAAATTAAAAAAAAATTAAAAAATAAACAAATGTTATGTTTTTATTGTTGTTGGCATCAAAACACAGCTTATAACAATAATTAAAGAATTTTTTCACAATGTTCACTTGTTCAGTTAGACTTAAAAATTACCGTTATTAAACTATTCAATTTTTAATACCTCATTTAAAATGGGAATAAAACACGTTTTGCTTTAAACTTGTGTGAAGTTATTATAGTGTAAAACAGCATCAAATCAGCATTGCAAAGCTGTTTTCTTAAAAATATACATTTTATTGTAGTTTTATACAGTCTTTTATGTTAAAAATATAATTTGCATCTAAAATAAAATGTGTTTTTTTGTTCGTATAAACAGTGTCTTTAATTATCATAACTCTTTTGGGCGGAGAAAAGTCGATCTTAAAATTTACGCCACAATTGATAAATAGTTATAAAATAATTATAATCAAGTTATTCATATCATTTTTTATGACTAATATACTAAATCTTAGGAATTTTGAACACCAGTAAAGTTAATGTGGTTATCATTTAAATTATAACTTGTATAAATTATAACAAAGTATAACTTGACGACAGACTTTATATGTCTCGATCACTCCACCACGTGTAGCTTTCGTTTAAGATTCGTTGTTTTGAAGTCATCTGCTCGCAAGAAGGTGTGCGAAGCATTTGAGAAAAAAATACTATTAACTCCCTTGTTTACATGGCGAAAATAAATGTGTTAATACAAGCAGCAAAACTTGTTGAAAGTGACGAAGGTACTTTGCAATTAGTTTTAAAATATTCAAGTGAAAATACTAATTTTTTATTACTATCACATGATACCACATGGCATTTTTAAAACGCACGTGCTTTTTGATCACCTCATCCTATCATTGAATGCCCTACTTTTGGTTACCTTTACATTTTATTGCGATTGTAGCATACCTGTTATGTTTAACCCTAATATATATGTGACTTACTTTTGAAAATATTTTGCATCCATCTATACCAGTTAGCTCAGCCATTTATGGCAGAACTAACTAGTTAGTCGTAAAATAATGAGCTCTATAGGTATATGGGTTATTAGTTCTGCACAGCTAATACTTTTGTCTATATCAATGTAAAATTTAACAGCTAACAATTATAGCAATAAATAATGTTTTATATAATAAAAGAGATAAATAGGGCATCCTAGTTGTTTACAATAAATAATTTAGTTATTTGCTGTAAACAACTATCACAATATTGTTGACATTTCTATATTAATAAATAGCAACCCTCTCACTAAATCCTCTATTTTATTTCTTCTTGGATTATTATTCACTATTGACCTTTGATGAAAACCGTATAAGCAATCTTTTGCAAAATTAGTATTTGCTAAGGTTGCTTCTTTATATTGTGCTTGCCATTTCTTTACCCCTGATTCCATCCTCTACCTCAATCACTTTTATTTGTCCCTGCATGGAATACTGTTGCCATTCTTGGGCTGGTTCTTCATGTAATGTTCTTTCTCTTCTAAACAAGGTTTAAAAAAATACATTTTAAATGTAGTTGGACCTGCTCTATCTGCCAAGCATAAGCCATTGTTCTGTCAATGTAAGGTTTCATCTCTTTCTCTTTATTACAAATACTATTATTGTTGCTGTTCAAACCAGCTATCTTATCTATTTCCATCAACCAAAACTCATACTTGCTTATTTTGTCATTCAGCAAAGCTGTATCTTTTTACTGTATATGTCTCTTCATTCTCTAAAAACCTTTAATTATCTAGTTTATTTCCTCATGCATCAATTGTTTAAAATTCTCCTATTTTTATGTTTTCCAGCCTCATACAATCTACAACATTTCAAGTCTTTTGTTATCTGTTTTCTTACTTTTTTTTAACTTAATAGTGCTTGATTTTAGTCTTGTTGGGAGGGAATCAGTATTAAAAAAATTAAAAAGGAAATTTTTTTTAGAAAAAATTAAAATTAAAATTATTATACATTTTTAATTAAATAACAAACTTTTTATACTTAATTTATACAATTAAATCAACGGATATTAAAATGTTTGTTTTTAATCACTTTTAAAACATAAAAATAAGAGGTTTACAATCCTTACACAACAAATGTTTCAAGGTGGACTTTCCGTTTGTTTTTTCTCTAAGAGTTTAGGAGATGCTATCATCTTCACCTTGATATTTTAAACACTCATAATTCTCTATATCACATATTACATTTAATGTGTAATAGTGTAAAGCAATGCTCGTGTTGTGTGGTAAAGTTTAATGCTTTTAGCAGCTTACATTTCACTTATTCTTATTTCACATATTCACTCTACTAGTGAAAAAAGTAAGCCAACCAATCTAAAGTCTTATATTCCTTTTGCAATAATTTATACAGCATTAAAACCACTCCTAACTTAATATGTCAAACTTGAGGCAATATATTTTCTAAAGTTATAATGAAAAAACCACTAGAGCAATAATTATATAAAAAAAACTTACCTAGAGTTCTTATGTTTTCATCGTTTCTATCTTCACAAAAGTACTCACTGTGAGCCCTTTCCAGACATTGTTATGTTCTTTTTAGGATTTACAATTAGCTCGTGTGTACGGCATAGAAGCATGGCTTCTCAGATATTATAACTCAACTAGCAAGATAACCCTGGTGTCCCAGAACATCATAGATAAAATTAAAATCAATTCAGTTCTGTTGTTGTAATTAGCATAATACCCAATAATAAAGCTAATAATCTCACCACAATCTGAATGTTTATACCTATGAAATAAATGAACATGATCCAGATGATTTAGAATTTTCAACTTCAAAATGAAGTTTTGTATACTTTATCTCCAGCAAAAAGGAGTTATAACTTTACTCCAAACATCAGATTTTGAAAACTGTTAAAAACGTCTGCAATATAAGTTATCAAATACTTAAACATCAATATAGAGACTAAACGAAGTTTATAAATAGATTACACTGTAGATTGCACAGTAAAATGTTCTTTACTGATATGAATTGTCTGCATTTCTTGCTATTGTCAAATATTAAAGAGACAAACAAATGAAATAATATTTATTGACAAATAAATGCTCTTTATAATAATATTTTTATCAATCAATATTTGAGGTATTGTCAATATGCTCTTTTTATCTTATTAAAAAGAGACTTTTTTCCATTACAAAATGCTTTGCAATGGAAAAAACATTGTAAAGTCTCCATTTTTCATATTTTCATATATTTTTTATTCATATTTAAGAATACCATAATAAGAATAATATTTTGCGTTTTTTTTATTGCCAAGTGTTTGGTTCAAGTTCTCAGTAGACAATGCAGAAGCTGACAATCTTTTTGGTAAGCTGACAAGACTTTTTGAAATATTATACATTAGCCGTCTGCAAATTAGGTCAATATAGGCTCAAATTTAGCAAGTTTTAAATTTAGCATAAACTAATTACAGGTAAACTAAGTTCTACAATGTTTGAATCCTCGATTAGTAAATTTATAGTTTCGGATATTCTCAGAATCACATAATGATAAAATTCTAAATATAAATCTAAAATGTAAGTTATAGATATTAAAAATTCAATTTACCTTGCCTAAAGTACCATATGCGTAAATTTTTAATTTTGTTTACCATGTCATGTTGCCAAATAAAGCCTTCTCAATTAACACTTGGTTAAAAAATAAACCATAAATTTTAGGCATAAAAAACCAGGTATTATAGTGAGCTACTATAGTTGGCCCTCTAACCTTTAATTTTTTTATCTTTTTAAATGTATTATTAGCTACATTTGAAATAAGTACAAATAGCATGAAGTAATTTCAAAACAAAATAATATAGTAAAAGAATGAAATTTTGATGAATGACAAGTCAAGCGAGAATGAGTTTTGGTTGATGGAACTAGAGATAAAAGCTCCTTTGAGCAGCGGTTATGATAGTATTTTTAGAAAAGAAAAGGAGATGCAACTTTGCAGCGATGGGAAAGAGACTCAAGCTTAGCAGATAGACTAGGTCCAACTATGTTTACAATGCGTTTTTGGACCTTGACTATAAGAGAAAGAACATGATTAGAAGAACCAGCCCAGATATGACAGTATTCCATAAAGGGAAGAGTAAGAGATTTGTTTAGGTAGAGAACGGAATCAGGAGAGTAAAAATGGCAAGCACAATAAAGGAAAGCAACCTTAGCAGATGCTAATTTAGCAATCAGTTGTACATATGGTTTCCATGAAAGGTCAGTAGTAAATGATAATCCAGGAAGCCATAAAGAAGACGACTCAGTGAGAGGGTTGCCATTCATAAATATAGAAATGTTCATAGAACTGCGATAGTTGTTGGCAGTAGATAACTGAATTTTGTTGGAGTTAATATTTACAAGCCACTCTGAGGCTCAATCAGTTACAGAAGTGAGATTAGATTCAAGATTGGCTTCCAGTTCTAAGCGATCAAAAAGAAAAGACTTTTTTTAAGACAGGAGTATAAAGTTTAATCATCATTAAAAAGAGCTACTTTAGATCTAAGGTTGTCGGGAAGAAAAAAACTTTGTTGAAAGCCTTAGATATGTCAAAAGCAATAGTCCTAGCCTCTCCGCCTCCATCTAATGCATGATAAAATCTTTTAGTCACAGCAGTTACGATAGGGATGTACCGAAGCTAAGATTTTGCCGAAGCCGAAGCTTCGGCCAAAGTCACTCTGCCAAAGCCGAAGCTTTGGCCGGAGCCGAAGCTTATGCACTCTTAAAGGTAAAATTTGCTATCTTGCAGATCTAGCTATCTAGAGATGATACTATTTGCTGAAAAACATTTTTTTAAAATTTTACTACAATTATTATATGCACTGCATGTAGTAAAATATATGTACTGCATTTATAAGTATTTTAGCGCACAAGGTATTTTTCTATATCAAATCATCAAGGTTTTTTTTTTAATTATGCAAAGCCATAGGATTTTAGGATATAGCAACTTGTTTGAACAAATTTAATATCACATGAAAAAAAGATGATTAGCTAACTAGTAATTACTAATTACAAATTAGTAGTTGAACATTACATTAGTTTGTACTTTGCATTATAATAAAATTACCAATTAGTAGTTACCATAAATTAGAGTAAATGAGGGAGGTTGTTTTTATTATACTTATTAGTTTATTACGTTTAAATTAATTATCCATTGTTAGAAATCAGGCAAACTATAGTTTAAAAATGTAATCTGTTCTCCATGCTCAGGCAACAGTCTGTTTCTTTTGGCTTAAAATATGTTTGTCGTTGTGCTGAATAGAGGTTCACTCTTTACGGGTGAAAGAGGTGCGCACAAAATTTTCATTGAAAACCTTGCCGAATCCCACTTGTTAGTGTCTTTATTGGAGCAGGTGTAATTGTAAACACCCCACCACATATAAGGGCATTCATTTTTTAGTAATGTTGATAGGCTAAAGTCGAAGTTGACTTTGTCCATGTTGAATCAAAACTATGAATCAGTTTAAAGTTTATACTAATATTTTAAATCTTTAATAAAGAAAAATTTTTTTTTCTTACTTAAGTAAGAAAAAAAACTCTTATTCAACTTGTAAATAAACATTTATAGTTGATAAATATTTATTTTTTGCATGGAAAATTAAAAATATTAAATGCAACCAGACCCGTAACTACAGGAAGACACGGCCTGCCTGTATATAGTTTGTGCCTGCTTGCAGCAATCTTTCCATAATATAAATAATATAATTTTGTCTACAGCATTTCTGGTGTGCAAACAAATCTGTAAATAAATTTCTATTAACAGGGCTGAAT